TCCTTAAACCCTATGGCGCCTTTTAACCCATTCTTTTCAGTTGTTTAATCTCCACCCTCCACTTCTTCTAATCTCCACCATTCATTCCAGGGCACTCTTTTTGTAGCTTTTAAACCCTAAGGCGCCACCTAATTGTTAATCCTCACCATTCATCCACTAACCACTAGATCTCAACCCTCCATTCCATCTTCTATCCCAGCCATCCACTTTAGGGCGCTACCCACCACTTTTAATCTCCACCTTTCAGCCCTAGGTGCCTCAATCTCCACCATTTATTTATGGGCGCCCTGATCACCCCAAAACCATCATAACCCTCCATTAGAAAACCTAGGGCACCCATATCTTTACTAAAACCTAGTTGCCGCCCCCCTCTTTCTCTTTAATCCCGGTTGTGTCCATCATTCTCTATAAAAAGGACCCAAGGGCTCCTGAGAAGGGGTTGGATTCTACCCCTAGGTAAGACGAAAGGCTGATATTGATAAATTCAAGGGTAGAGGAAGAGGAGGATGCCCAAGCAAGAGGAGGGGTTCCTACTTGTAGTTCGCCAAAGCCACTATTGCCACATTTGGATTCGAATCCTAACCATTAGTCTTAGATTTAATTTTAATTCTTTCAATTTCAGTTTTGTTATTTCCTTTCTGCAATTTATTTTTATTCTATTTGATCTTCGTTTTCTTTTCTACAGATCTGGAATTCGGCCAAGTAAGACAGAAGGCCTAGCTCAAGAAGTTTGAGGGTCGAAGGAGAGATCTGAAGAATACTACCTCTGATCGGATTACTGATTTTTTGTTTTTTCGTTTCCTTCATTTATTTATTTATTTTTCTGCAATGTTCGAATTCTATCTTTTTTTAGTTTAATTACTTAATTTTTATATTTCTACACTTCCCTCTTGTGTCTCTTATCCGGATTTGAGTATGTATTAATTTTTCCCTCGCTTCCCTATGGATACGACCCGTTCTCATCATTTTACTACGTTAGTAGTTGCTTGAGAATCATACAAATTTATAAATATTTAAACTGGTGTTCTGAAGTGGTTAATGACATGCTCCGTATCACACCAATAGGCATCCATAAAATTGAGTAGTTCATATCCCAAGGTCGCATCCACCAGGCGATCTATGTTGGGTGAGGGGAAGCTGTCCTTTGGGCAGGCTTGGTTCAGGTTTTTAAAATCTATGCGCATCCATCATTTGTCGTTTGCTTTCTTTACTAGAATTGGGTTTGCCACACAACTTGGGTATTGGACTTCCTCTACGAAGTCTGCTGCAAATAGCTTTCCCACCTCCTCGTTCACTATGTTCCACCTTTTCCGGGGCAAGGTTTCTCTTTCCTCCGTCGGACTGGTTTGTCTGTAGGGTCCACATTAAGCTTATGAGTTATCAACCTAGGGTCTATACCAGGCATTTCAACAGCTAACCAAGCGAAAACCTCTAAATTATTTAATAAGAAACTTACTAGTTCAGATCGCATGGGTTTCTTCAGGCCAGCTCCTATTTGGAGCGTTTTTTTAGGCTCAGCTTTGGAGACCTGTATTGCAACTGTTTCCTCAATTGGGCGAGCTCTTTCGTCCGCATTCTCTGATGGTGGCTCTAGGTCGATATCGACTGTCATCTTGTCCTTGGCTTTTAGAGAAGCTACATAACACTTTCAAGATTCTAATTGGTTTCCTCAAAGCATACCTATCCCCGTGTCTGTTGGAAATTTCAATGCGAGGTGGTACGTTGAGACCACAGCTCGCAATGCATGTAAGATTGGTCCTTTGGATTGCATTATATGGCGATGCGATAACCACTACCAGAAAATCATGCTCAAAACACACCGTGTGGGGTGGCGAGCCCGCTTCGATCGACAACCTGACTCTGCCAATTGGGCAAACCACTTCACCACTAAATCCCACTAAGGGTACGTCGGTGGGCTGCAGGTCACCTTTACTAAGTTCCATCCTGTTAAAAGCCTCTACAAACAAAACGTTTGTCGAGTTGCCCAAATCTACTAGGATCCTTCTTACCTTTAAGTCATTGATGAGTAGTTTTACCATTGGCATCATCATGGGGGTACTGAACCTCGCGCATATCATCTTCTGTAAAATAAATAACTTCCTCCTTTCGGGGACGCTTACACAACTGGCTGTCCTCTTGCTTCAGTTCTTGCACTGCATTCTTCCCGCCTGATGTGGTGTAGCCTGCTATTGTTGAGCCCCTGGTGATTATGCTTATGGTCCCTCGGACCTGCCTTTCCTATGTTTGTTGGTTCCGAGTAGCTTGCTCCTGCTGCCTGTTGTTCTGGGGCGCCTCTTGCTGGTTCCTGCCTCAGGTTGTCGTTCATCCTTGATGAAGCATCTCAAGTAACCTCGTTTGGTGAGGCCTTTGATTTCGTTCTTTAAATTCCAACAATGCTCAGTGTCGTGTCCAAAATCCTTGTGAAAATGACAATACTTATTTGGATTCCGGGTGTTGGGGTCTCCCTTCATCTTGGGAGGCCATTTCACATAGTCATTGGAATGAATCTGCATTAGGATTTCCTTTCTCTTGGTGTTTAATGTGATAAACACTTTGGTGTACGCTGGTGGTGTTGCTGAATGCCAATTTGTTATTCTGGCTTGCGACCTACTTTTGCGGCGTAGCAAGCTACTACGCCTTCTCCTTGGGGATCTGCTCTTTCTTGGCGACCTGCTCCTTTGCCTAGTCCAGCTTGTGCTTGCCTCCATCTACTCGCTTCCTTTTCCATGCTGCTTCAAATTCCGTTCCTACTACCTCTTCTGCCCTGATGAAGTCGTGGGCTACTTCAAGGAATTTCTCCATGGTTGTTGGCAGATGTAATTCGAGTTCCCATTTCAATTCACGATGCTTGACTCCTTTCTTTGTTGCTATGAGCTGTACGGAGGGATCCATGTTAGGGATCAGTAGCCGTTCTATATTGAATCTTCAAATATACTCCCTGAGTGTTTCGTTGGGCTTCTATACAATGTTGAAYAGGCATGTTGCTGATTTCGAGTGTTGCATGCTAGTGATGAACTAGTTAATAAGTAGCCTGGCGAACTGATCCTAGTTTATGATGGATCCTGGGGCCAATCTTGAATACCAAAGCCATGCTTCCTCCTTCAGCGTGGTGGGGAACAAATGCACATGTTGGTGTCGTTCGCTTCATGAAGGAGCATAAGGGCCTTGAAGCTGTTAGCATGCTCTACTAGGTCTATCTTTCCTCGATAAAATTCCAAAGCAGGAGCTCGGAAGTTTTTTGGGCATGGTGCTTTGAGGATCTCTGGTGCGAGTGGGGTTTCGCGGGTCAAGCTAGGCTATTATGAAAATGGAGTCATTTTACTGGTTGTCGTGTTGCTCTCTCCAGGTTGGGCACCGTTGTTTGCGCGGACGAGCTGTATTTTTTCTCCCCGCGTGATGCGTACGCTTCTTCTTCTTGGTGCACTTAGTGGAGCTAGTTGCATTAGTTTCTGCAAGTGCCTCGGCTTGGCTTTCCGTAGGTACCTATTCATTCCGGGCTGCTGCGTCTTCTCTGTCCAGGATTTGAATTTGACAGTGGATCCATGGGCGAGGTGGTTCTTCCAAATTATTATTCTGTGGAGGGAGTTGTTGACTGCCTTGTAGTACCTGTTGACTATCATGGGGAAGTGGTTGATCTGGTGCCACGTAATGCTGCTGTTGGGACTACTATCGTTGCTGATACTGCTGCTGCTGTGGTTGGAACTGGTGTTGTTGTTGTCAGAACTGCTACTGTTGGAATGGCTGTTGTTGTTGCCCAACAATGAAGATGAACCTGTTTTCCCATGATCGTATCTGTTCATCATGTTGTGCACACACCGTACCAAGTCGTTGAACTATTGCGCGTCCACCACTGGGGAGGTGCCACAGGATCCACAACCAGAGGTGGGGGTGGCATATTCACGTTTTTCGGCACATCGATGGGCGGTAAAGGAACATCCATCTGGCCTATTGTGTCTGTTGGTACTTGGTCATTGACATTGTTGGCTGAAGGGTTGCTAGAAGATGCCATTGAAAGATTTATTCAAGGAAAATGAGAAAAGGTAAAAGATGAATGAAAGGAAATACTAGCTTTTTGCTGCGTTTCCCACAAACGACACTAATTGGTGAAGCACAATCTGCTCACTCCCTCGTGTTTAGTAATGTGGCCCGAATTGGGTTCCAACCCGACGATGCCAAGCTATAATGCCGAGTTGTGAGCTGTGAATTCGAGGTAAGAAGAGTTGTACGAAAATAAGAGTTAGAGTGTCTGGGTAAATTTTACCAGGGAGACACTCCGATGCTTAAGTTAGTAAGTAGGACTAAGTGAGAATATGTAAGAGAGTATGAGAGCTTATGTGTGCATACCTTTTGGATTGATCCTGGGTCCTCTTATAGCTATATGGGGTTCAGGTGTCATCAGGCACCCTCTTTGACTCTGCTGCGGAGCTGTTTCCGCAGCTTGTGGTTGTGCTAGACAGTTAGTTGCTAGATTCACGCGACGGTTTACAAGTCGCTTACGGGTCTTGTGGCATACGGTTTAGCGAACTGTTCCTATAGTTGTGGTAACGGTGTTCGTGCAGGCGCAATGTGTGGAATGGTTTCGGGGCGAGCTGTTGTTGTTGGCGGGCCGAGCTCGCCTCAGCTCGGCCTCGTACCTGATGTAGATTGCCACGTGCCGATTTGTTGAGTTGTCTTGCTGAGTTGGATGTTGTGCCGCTGACAATGTCCACGTGTCTATAATTGTGTGGGGTGACCAAAATGCCCTTCATCACAACCTATAACCTGCTTAGCATTCATCCTCCACTTCCACAATTCTCAAACCCTGCATCATTGTTAGTTTTAGGCCATGAATTAGGGAACTTAGGATTGCATTGCTCCAATGGTCCCTAACGGGGGTGTCAATGGACCGGTTTCGGGTTGGACCCCGTCCAATCCGAAGGGATTATGGACGGACCGGACGGTCTAAATAATCGTATGGACTCGGACCAGTCCAAATTTAAGTGGTCCATCTATAATGCGGACCGAATTTGGACAAAGCCGCTGAATCAAAATGTCCGTTCATTCGTTTGAAGTTTTCTCCAAAATTTTCTTCGAAGACCTAGCTCTACGCCTCACCGCTCCCTCCGGCAATTGAACGAAGAAGAAGGTTTCTCTCCGGCGGTGTTATTCCTCGAACTCCGACAGTACTTCCGGCGGTGGTTTCTCTCCAGTTGTTTTCTCTCGTCTCTCTCTCTAGCGAATAGCGATGGTGACCATCATTCCATCGTTCTAGTGTTATCCGGCGACCGACGGCACTCCCCAGTCTCTGCTGTGGTTATCTATCTCATCTCTCTCTCTCTTTATCCAGCGGTAGACTCCTTGCTCGTTCAGGTATTTCGTCTCTCTGTCATTCCAAACAGTTTAATTTTGTATTGTTTTTGGTTTTGGGTTCAGGAACTTCAAGAGTAAGACTATAATATAAGAAATAGTTATTGATCTGTTTTTGGTTTTGGGTTCAGGAACTCTGCACTTGAGTCCCCCCAAATTTTCTGAGATAAAATAAGAAATAGTTATTGATCTGTTGTGTTATATAAGACTATAATGTGACTCACAAATATGAAAAGATTGCTTATCTTTCATAGTGGAAACTTGCCAGCCACCTTAAATTGCTCTCATAGGGTCTTTTTTTTTTCTACATGGATATGCAGAATTTCTTACTAATAATTTATATGAGAAACAAAAGTTAAAAAAAAAACAGAAAAGATTTGGAGAGAAAAAAATAGATCAAATAGAGAGAGAAAAAATAAGAAAAGAAAGAAGAGCTCAATATCTTCTAGAGGGCTTCTGTGTTTCAGAGTAACTAGTAGGCTTTGTTTTGGTTGTATCTTCCACATATTTATACTCTCATTGGAGGAACCTGAAGTAGTTCAGTGCCTTCACAATAGAAGATACAACAAATAAATTTCTGGAGAAATTTAGGCATCTCAAAGTTGTCAAAACATGTGAGTAGAAGGAGAAATCAATGGGTGCACCTAGATTTGGAAGCTGACAGCAGTTTCTAAATTTATGGTTTCTATTTTTGTGTTTTCAAACCAACTGTTATTTTCTGTGTCCTATTTTTTTAGAAGGTCTGCACTTAGTAGAATAGGAAATTATTAGTTTAAATCAACTACTGTTTTGAAGAGCTTCTAATCTTGAATTTCTGGGTTTCTCTTTCAGTCAAGAAGAGTTCTATAAATATATGTAATTCGGTTCAAAGAAGACAAGGAATGAATTAAATTTAAGCTTTTTTCTTCCTTAGAAATTTGGTCTACTTCTTTGTTCTCTTGAAAATCAGTGTTAGAGAAACACATGATCTCTTCTTTTCTTGTTATTTTCTAGTAGTTCTCTGCTACTAGAAAAAACCAGTACCTATTCTCTGGATTTTCCACTAGATTCAGAACATACCTTGTTGGATTTGAAGCAAGGCTACCTATTGACCTTGCCTTCTACCTACCAACCCCTACATTATAAGTTTAGAACCTCTCCTTCATTTTAATACAAAGTTTATCATTCATCAAAGAAGAATCATATGCATGCACTCCTAAAAGATGAGAACTGCAGAAACAAGTTATTGGCAGAAATTAAGTGCTCCAAAATCATTAGAAAGCCCCACCAATGACACCCTAACATTGCAGAGGCACTGTAATTATAGCACTAAATTTGGATGTGATACCTTTGTGGCAATAAGCTCTGCTTCCAATGCATCAACACGGCAAACAGCAGCATTTAACAGCTCTTCTTTTTTGTAAGGCATTTCAATTGGCTTTGCTTGAAGCATGTCTACCTTATCCTCCAACACCCCGAGTCTCCTCAACACAGATTAGAAGTGTTAAAACTTTATACTTAGACAGATTAGATATACTTAGCCAAATTAAGAACATTGTTAAGAAAAAAGATAATTGATAATTATTCACCTTGTTGATCAATACCTCAGCCTAAATGATGAATTGTTAAAACTTGATCCAGATTTGAAGATATACTTAGCCAAATTAAGAACATTATTAAGAAAAAAGATTATATTCACCTTAAGGGGACCGGCTTCTTCAATCAAAGCATTGATTTGAAAAGGAGGCCTAGATTCCTGGGTCATACGGTAATTCATCACATTGGATTGGACCAGTCCAATCCGATCCAGGTCGAACATATTGAATAATCCAAAAGGACAGTGGATTGGATTGGACCAGTCGAATCCGGTCCAGGTTGAACATATTGAACAGTCCAATAAGCCAATGGATTGGATTGGACTAGTCCAATTTGGTCCAGGTTGAACAGTC